GAGTGGGAGAGGTGGGGTGGGAAGGAGGAGGAGGAGGAGGCAGCTTCCATGGGTGGGGTGGGGGGCCTCTGAACTCCTGAGGAAGGTTTGTGCTGCCAGGGCGGAATATTGTTGGTGAGCAAGGAGGCGGTAGGGGAATGCCCCTGGGAGAGAGGCAGGGAAAGGCCAGCGTGAAGATATCCTCCCTCTCTTTTTCCCGGCAGCTTCTTGTTATCGGAGGTAGACTGCCACGGATCAGGAAGGTTCCATTTCTGGCAGCCCCAGTTTGGGGGCATGGGGGAGGGAGGGAGGGAGGGAGGGGGCTTTTCTCCCGCTCTGGGGCACAGTTTCTGCAAGGAAGAGGAAAGGCGCTGAGTTGGTGGTGGGGGGGAGAAGGGCCGCTGTTCTTTACCTAGAGACAAGAGCACCCACGGCTTGACACCCCCTCCCTTTTCTCACCGAGGGGAGGAATTTCTCAGCGGTGGTGTGTAGCGTGAGGGGCGGCAGTCGCCTCCTCCCTCCTTCTCTCTGGGAGGGGGATCCCAGCTGCTGCCGCCGCAGCTCTCCTGCAGTCTGCAGACTGTTGCCAGGTGCTGATGGCACGGAAGGAGGGGGTGTTGTTGGGCTCCCTGTAGGGGAACCGAGGAGGCAGAGGGGTGCCCGCGGCATCTGTAGCCCAGGGAGCTCTTCCAGCCTCTCCCAGGCCCTGCTGTGGCCCCTGCTCCTCCAGGCCACACGCTGCTGCCTCCGCCGGGATGCCAGGCCTGGCGAGGGGCTGCGGCCGGTCTCTCCAGGATGTGTGGCTCCCCCGGAGGGTCTGGCAGTGCCTGGCTTCTGGGCCCTCCCTCTGCCAAGCGTCTTCTCCAAGAGCCGTTCCCCATTGACCCACCTCTCCCCCCTGCTCCTATTTTAAGCGGCTCTTCGGCACGGGCTCTGCCATGTGACCACGTTTGGTTTATTTCCACACAGCTATTAAAAAGCAGTGCCAAGTTTGGAGCTCCGTAGGAAGGCAGGCAGGCTAATTTCGGCCTCCTCCGTCTGAGCGGTGCTTTGGAAACAGCCTGTTTGGTTTTCTAAAAAAAAACAACGCCGAGAGGCTTGGGACTTGTTTATCCCCCCCCTCCCCCCAGGGACGGGCCGCTTGTGGCTTCCTCTCGCCCATTCCCAGATACGTCTCCGTGGATTCCGAGCCAAAAAGGATGCTCGCGCGCACCACGCATGATCGTGCAGAATTTGGTACGGTTATTTTCCCTCCGTTGCCAGTGTTGTCTAGCTGTGTGAAAACAGACGTGTGGGCAGCTCCCAGTTCTGTGGCCAGGCCTGTGGGTGTAGCTCCCTTTCAGGGCCCCCCCCCCCCCCCCCCGGGGATTCTACACAGTCGCTCTGTGCAAATGCGGGGTTTGGCACCTGGGGCAGAGCACTGGGCCTGACTTGGTTCTTCCTGGCAGTTCTCTAGCCCTGGTGGATGCGGACAAACACCTAAAGAAACCTCCGGAGTCTGAGCAGCGGCCTGGGCGGCCAGTGCCTCGGGGGGGGGGGGGGTCGACCTTGTAAGCACCTGCCTAAATTATGCAAAATGGGCATTGCCTGATTGTATTTCTTTTTTTTAAAAAATGTAACCTCATTTATACGCGGACTTTCTCCGCAATGTGGAACTGTCGCGAAATCAGGGCTGTATTGAAAGAAAAAGGATGCTCGCGCGCGTCCTCCAGTTAATCCTCACAACAGCCCTGTGAGGTAGGTGAGGCTGAGAGCAGGCGACTGGTCCCGGGTCAACCAGCCAGCTTCCGTCGCCTGTGGGAATTCGAACCTGCTTTCCCCGGATCCTAGCCTGAGACTCTAAACCCACGTGCCACGGTGGAATCCATGGAAGAATGGGGGTGGGTGGGGAGGGAGTGGATACAGAATACCTCGGCACCCCTGAGGTTTGCACTGAACTCCTCGCCTGAGCACTGCCTCCCGCCTGCCTCCCCTGTGCTCCAGAGCCATTCCTCTCTCTCATCTGCTTCCTGTGCAGGGGGGGACACAGACACACCACCGGAGGGACCGGGCAGAGCCTGGCCAACGGGGGGCAGAGCCCCCGAGCTGGGCACCCGCAGCTGGGCAACAGCCAGGCTGGCACAGTGAATGGCACAGGTACCGTACCGCTCCGTCCAGGGGCACCCCCCTCCTCCTCAGTGCAAGAGCAGCCTGGATCCCTCCAGGGTTTCCCCCCTGGCCTCCCCAGCACGGAGGCCCCCTTTGAGGACGGGAGCGGCTCCTCCCTGCGTCATGGAGCCGCTTGGTCCTGCAGGCGGAGATTGCCCTGGGGGAGGCCTCAGGTGAGCAGCAGGCCCTGGGGGGGGGGGGCTGTGGGCCTTGGCTCTGCCCCACCCTGACGGCTGGCGCTGCTCTGTGTCACAGTGAGCGGAGGAGAGTCTGCTGGTCCAGCCCCCGCCCCCGCCGAAGAGGAGCCGGCCACGAGCCCCGACCCCAGCACTGCTGGCGACCCCGCAGGGCCAGAGGAGCCGCCCCCCACCTCGGGGACCCCCCCAGCTTCCCAGCCGGCAGTCCAGGCCCTGGAGGTGCTGCCCCCTGGGTAAGTGGTGCCCCACGTCTCGTGGGAGGGGGGCCCCCACAGGGATGCCCTGGGAGCGCGGCAGGCCGATGGATCTGATGGCGTGGTCTGCCTCGAGGCTCCCAGGAAAGGCGGCATCTGCGTCCCAGAAGGGACTCTAAGCAGCCAAACACCGCAGAGGTGGAGCTGCGACCAGCGTTCCCTCTCAGCCGAGTGAGTGTGAGCTAGCGCACGGTTTTGTAGCCTCCGGCTCACGCATTTTTGTCTCCGCTCAGAAAGGATGGGGCTCCAGAGCAAACGGATTGATGCAGCAGCCAGACCGGTCACTCAGAGCTTTAATGCCCGGAGCTCAGAAAGTAGGATTTTTGCTCACAAGGAGACTCCACAGAGGCTTAGGGGGAGCCTTGCCTGCGGCCCCAGGAGGCTCTGGGCTGGGCTCTCCCCTCTGCCGTGGGACCCCCTCTGCCAGGCCTCGCCCCGTGGCTGCCTGCCTTGAGGGGTGGTTAACAGAGCCACGGAAACCAGGCCCTGGATGCGGAATAGTCCCTTTCCTGGAGGTCACCCTGGAGGGGAGCCCTGCTGGCCTGCAGTACAAAACAGCCAGGTTCTAGTCCAGGAGCAGGCTTTTGTGGGGGGGCAAGAGCTTTCGGGAGCCAAGGCCCCCTCTGTCAGGCACTCGATGCCTCTGACTCTTGCACGCTCCCACCCCCAAAACCTTGCTGGTCTCTGATGTGCTCCTGGACTCGCATCTAACATGTTTTGGCCTGTTTTTCTTCCCGATGGGGACCCAAAACAGTTGACAGCATAGTTCTCCCCTTCTTCGTTTTGTCGTTTGCTCCTCACAGCAACAACAGTCCTGCGAGGTAGGCCTCCCCCACCCTACACATTCCGCTCCCTCTCCCTCGCAAACTCTGCTTGGCTGGCTCCCTCCTGGTCTTCCCTGCCTTGCGGGGCCTCCTCCTCGGAGGGCTGTGAGGAGCAGGGAAGGTTTGGGGGGGGCTCAAGGGGCCGCCTGTCACTTCCCTTTGGCTGCTGCATCACGCCCGCCTTGTGGGAGAGTCGCCTGTGAGCGAGGAGGAGGAGGAGGAGGCGTGGGCGCACAGCTGCCGGCAGACGCCCAAAGGAAAGGCTTCCCTCCCTCCCTCTCCTCCGCTGCTGCTGCTGCTGCTTCAGTGTTGGGGGTGCCCAGGGTCCCCTCCCACCCCACAGCCCCAGCATGGGGAAAGGAACAGCTCTCTCCCCACCATGGCGCTTGGATGGGGGGGTGCATCACCCTCCCCCTGCCTCTCGTCTCTCGGTGGTTCTGTGGCCGAGGGGTTGCTGCGGTGCCTCTGCCAGGGCGGCGGGGGGGGGGCTAAGTCATTTCTCCCCCCCACCTCATCTTTGCCACATCCTCTTTGCATGGGCACAAAGTGCGGGCCGGGAGGCAGCAGCAGTGTGTGTGGGGGCCACTGGCAGCGTTCTCCTGCCCCCCCCCGTCCTGGTGGCTGGGACAGGGGGAGGCTCCCCCCCCGCCCCGTGACACCCTCCGCAGCCGCCGTGCGCTCCCTCTGGGTTGGCGGCAGAGCGGCCTCCTCCTCCGCCTCCTCCTCCTGCATCTGGTTCCTATCAGCGGGCCCTGCGCGGAGGACAGCCGCCCTCATTAACACGGCAGCATGTACACCAGTTCGCGCCTCGTCTCGCGCACACAAAGGAGGGCATTATGCTCCCTGGCAGCCAGCGCGCGCGGGCTGCGGTCCCTTACGTCAAGGCGGCGGCGGGCGTCTCGCTTGGCCAGCAAGGATCCCTCGGTGCTGCTGTTTCGCTACCAGCCGCCCCCTCGCGCCCGTGGCAGGGGGAGGGCCTGGCTTGCGGGTGGGAGGGGGTGGGTCGGTCACAAGTGGGCAGATGTGCACACACACATGTAGAACTCCTGGAGTTTGGGGGGGGGGGCTTAGAGGGCTTCACACAGAATTTGGCATCCTGAGAATATCTTTTCAGATATTAAAAAAAACGAAGTAAGCTTCTAGCCCTTAGGAGCTTGGAAGCCCAGTGGTAGCTTGGAGGTGCTCAGTCCAGACCCCCACTGCTTCTCACCCTGCCCTCGGCTGGCCAAGACAAAAAGCAAAAGTGCGCGTGCGCACGCATACACAGGCTGCTGAGCAGGGGCCGAGTCTCCTGGTAGCTTCCGGCCTGAATGGGCTTGCGGAGGGGCCGGGTGTCCCAAACTCCAGATGCGCCTGCTTGGATCCGGGTGGGAGCCTTAGAGGACACCGGGGGGGGGGGCAGAGTCTTTGCTCCCCCTTATTTTGCTCCCCGCTTGGGGGCTGGAGTGAGTTATGCTTCGTCTGCAGGCTCTTGGGGAGTGATGCGGAAGAGCCGGAATCCACCTCTGTGTGCTAGAAAGTCCTGGATAGGAGAGGCCTCGTGGACCCTGCCCCCCGCTCACTGCCCCCCCCTCTTTCCTTCAGGTGGGAGCAGCGGGAGCTGCCCAATGGGCGAGTGTATTACGTGGACCACAACACCAAGACCACCACGTGGGAGCGGCCCCTTCCCCCGGGGTAGGCGGCTCCGCCACGGAAGGAGCTCCTCTGCAGATTTGGCTCCCAGAAAGGATAAGGGGGATGGGTATGGGGAGGGCTGGAGAAATGGGGGGGGCTCCAGGAGCCTGTGGGGCTGGGGTCACCCAAGCCCCTTGGCAAAAGGCCATATGGATGGGGGGGAGAAATTTGCCATCCCCCCACGGTGTGTGCGCATGCGCATGAGAGAGATTTCCGTTCTCAGGTGGCCTCTCTTGTCTGTGCAGCTGGGAGAAGCGCGTGGACCCACGTGGCAGGTACTACTATGTGGACCACAACACGCGCACCACCACCTGGCAGCGCCCCACGGCCGAGTACGTGCGCAGCTACGAGCAGTGGCAGAGCCAGCGCAACCAGTTGCAGGGGGCCATGCAACAGTTCAGTCAAAGATTCCTCTACCAGGTGAGGGAGGGAGGGAGGGCTTCCCCCCCACACACATACAGAGATGGCTGAGGGGGGGCTGGGGGCACCCGGTGGGGGAGAGATGCCCCAGTCAGTCTACTCCCAGCGTGGTAAGGGGCAGGATGATCCTGAGCCAGGGCCATGGGCCGGGCGGGCGGTGTGGCTTTGGTACCCATCCTCCCTCGTTCCCATCTGGCAATGGGGGGGGTGTGTGATTCCAGCAGAGGCAGGAGAGAAACTTGCCAGCACCACCCACCCACCCCCGCCAGAGCACTCAGCTCCAAGGGTGGGGGAGGGAGAGCCCGGCCACTGTGCAACTGCCCCCCCACCCCACATAACCACCCGAAGACCTTTCGTGAGGAACGCAGGGTGGCGGTGGTGCAGTGGTTGTTTCCACGCTTCTCCGTCCTGTCCCAACCACAACCCTGTAGAGTAGGACAGACTGAAAGAGAACGAGGAGGCTACTGAGGATTCAGACAGCAGTAGCCACAAGTGTCTGTCTGAACTCAGACCGTCTGAGCGGGGGTCCATCGCTCTGGCCCCGTGGACGGATTTGGGCTTCCGACATGCTTTGGAGGTTGCTGAACTCCTCCTGCGGGTGTGTGTGTGTGTGTGTGTGTGTGTCCAGTCTGGCCTCGTGGGCGTGTGGCCATCCTGAGCGTACCACCCCGGGCTCTCAGGGGAGGGGGGAGCATTCCACCACCACCCTTCTCCATCTGAGCCAGGAGGGCCTTGGGGAGGTGGGGGCGGCGGTGTGTTTCCCCCTGTTCCTGGGGTCTTGGCTCCTCTGACTGGGCTTCCGGCCAGCTTGCCTAGTGGTCCCTGCAGTTCTGCGGGAGCAGCGGTGAGCACGGGGGCG